CTACGTCCATCCCATGGGGAATGGGAGCAGTAACAAAGGTGTTGCGTTTATATTTTTGTTGAGTGTAGTTTATGTTTAAATACAATATCTTTGAGCTTCAGTCATAATCATGGATATAAAATTAATCACAAAAGCTTTTCCTAACATATTTGCTTTAATTCTTCTTAAAATCCAAATTACAAAGGGAACTTCTTTAAACTAAAAAGCATAAAGGTCCTTTGTTCCATCACAGTATAGTACAATCATAAAAGAGCAACATCAGTTAGTCATACTGTTGTGTTTTAGTTGCACTTATCATGACTCATACTTCAGTAATCACCACATATGAATCATCGAGACACTATTTGAACTTTTACTGCATTATTAATGACCTGCACTTAAACACATTTTTGTTTGTTTTTGCAGTTCCACAAATTGACCAACACTGCTGTTAGTGTAGGAAAGTAAGTTTCTAGATTTATACAAGTACTGCAGTTAAACACAATTTCCCTGTGCAGTGTTATATTGCTACATTTTCAGAACCCTATGAGAGTAAATATTTTTGGCTTGAAGATTCTTACAAAAATGGTGTCTAAAAAAACAAAACTAACCATACTTCCTCTTTTGTTTGTTTTGTTTCTTATCTTTTTGCATTGAGTGCAGGGTTTTATGGAGATATTCCATAGTTTTGTTCATTTCATTAACTCAGATTGTAGGGGCAAAGTTTTGGTGTAAACAGCATGAAAGCACGGATCCATCCTGCCCTATATCAAGGGTTCAGGCCAGTGGTGGTTGTGTCATGGTGCTGAGGATATTTTTTAGACACGCTTTAGGCCTCTTATTACCAACCACCCAAGCTCGCCAAGACCAAATCATCTCAAACTGGTTTCAGGAACATAACAATGAGTTCTGTACTCAAACGGCCCTTTTAGATCTAATCGTGCTCCTCCTGGTCACTCCCAGTGTAAACCCTAACATTTCCAACACTGCCTCCTGTCGTTTGTTAATGCCACCGTCTCCAAAGCGTACATCATAGCACGTCCAAAAGCCAACTTGTAAACTTCTTAATAAAGCAGAGATGTCAAACACAAACCAACTTTGAGCTTAAGTAGGTCAAACCAGTGAAATTCCCCTTTCTGACAGGGTAAAGAAGGTTAACTACACATTTTATCCCTGTGATATCGTACTATAAGACAAAGAAAAAACAGGAAGGGTTGCTGTAGCTTACTGCCCAGATTGCCCTGTAATTATAGAACAAAGCGCTGTGTTATTTCATAGAATATGCCCCTTTTATGTGCACCCATTGTAAAAAAAAAAAAAAAAAACCCCAACAAAGAACCCCTGAAATTTCTAAAGTGCACAGTGAAAAAACAGGAACCTTTTCATCAATTCATTGTTTATCTATTACTTATATACTTTGGTGTAGTATGACCATGGAGAGGGTCTTTATCAGCAGAAAAAAGCTACTAAAGTACATGGAACATTTAAAAATACTTCCCTTCCTTCATGTTTTCCAAAGCCATCCAGTGTACTCATGTACTCTTTGGTATTTTTTATAATGTGCTCTATGAATTAATTAAACAGTACATAGAATTTGTTCCCTCTCGACCAGGTGTTCTGGGAATCCATCCTGACAAACCATCCTACCCGTTGTTTCTACGCATGCGCACAACACGAAATTCAGTGGCGAACCATCCTACCTATGTGAATATAAGCTACTAACATACTCTGATGGGTACGATTAAGTGCCAAACCGTCCTACCTTTGTGAATGTGACGTACAAGCATACTTTAACAGCTAAAATTAAGTGGCGAACCATCCTACCTCTGTGAATATGAGCTAGAAGCATAATTTTACAGCTAGAATTCAGTGGCAAACCATCTTACCTTTGTTAATAACAGCTAGACACATACTCTGACGGGTAAAATTATGTGCCAAACCATGCTACCTTTGTGAATGTGACCTACAAGCATTCTTTAACGGCTAAAATGAAGTGGCAAACCGTCTTGACTTTATAATTATGAGCTACAAGCATACTCTGATGGGCAAAGTTAAGTGGCAAACCCTCATACCTACTTACATTTGTGCTGGAATGACTCTGTGACAGCAGAAATGTGCATAAACTACTTACGGTAGGACGTTTTGCCAAAGTAGGACGTTTTGTCAGAACACCTGTAATATAAAAAAAGGTGTCAGAAACACAGTTTTGACAGTTAAAATATCCCGTCTCATGTCAGTACGTCTAAATACTTGCCACACCCCATTCTCACTGGTTAACACTCGCACTGTGCGCGGGTGTAAACGTGCCCTTGAGTCACCTAATAACCGTTTCACAATCTCCGAGTCTCAGAGTAAGATCTAATAATGCTGCACGCGGTGACAGCAGGGGCTACAAACCTCCAGAGGATGTGATGCAATGCATCATTATCATAATATATGCTGATATCACTGCTCCAGTCCTTCGCCAATCAGCGCGCTTCACTTTCACCACCTGCTAGGAACTGAATTCCA